TTACACGTATGTCTCTGTCGAATTGGACCGTTTGCGATGGATTGCGAGCGATTGTTTTGCTGCTACGAGATTTGCGAAGGGTGTACTGACGTCATTCACGGTCACTCGTGACTGGGGGGGGACTCGAGATATAATAAATATTATAGAGCGAATAAATATAAGATTATAAATATAAGTGAGCGTTAACTGTACGATACCTCTGGCTGGCTGGCTGCAATCAGCAAAGGGGAAATGCCGAGCTCCCCACAGGTACCGGTAGATGTGCGCTTTGTACCGGTATCTAGCTAGCTAGAGTAATAAATGTTCCTCTAAGTTTCTGTTTTGTTTTTGTGCAACAGAGAAAGCCTGTGTCTGTCTGTCACTTGGTTAAAAAGGGGCATTTTAATAAAGTGTTTGTCCACATGACTTTCAAAACCAACTAGCTAGCTAGCTAGCTAGCTACTGTACCGTAGCTAGCTACAATAAATGGCACCATCAGGATTGAATGATCAATCTTCAATCTGCAATTGGCTGGGTACAGTCGTACGGTATCCCGCCCTTGCTTGGTCAAGGCATCCTCAAGGTGAATTCCATCAAGCCCAGGAACAAGTGTTGAAAAACAATGGATAGTCATAGATACATCATGGAGGTCGGGACGTTGCGGTTTGACAAAGACCAAAAGCTTGCACTTGTGTTGAAAGTTGAAAGAGCAGTTGAAGGTTGAAGGGGTAGAAAGTACCTCTTGTGTTGGTGGTTGGCAATGGCCCTGCAAAGTGCGACGAAGGCACAAGGGCAGTTTTTGTGCGCCACGTAAGGGCGATAGGTGCAATACGCTTCCTTCAAAGATTTAAAGCATTCACAATTGCAATAACAAACAACGAAGGTTTGATTCATGCGTTGTTAAACCAAGTACAGTGTAAGGCGCTTAGGGGCACAACCACGGACACGTCACCTCCTTTTCAGACCCTTCCGCTTCAACTCCGCCAGCAAAACATCAGTATCATAATTTCCCAGCACAGCAAAAAAAAACACACACACTATCTTGCATCCTCCACAATAAAACACACCACCAAACTATTATCAGCAACTAAGACGTACCATGAGCTCCCGTCCTCTTCACGTTGTCTTGGAACATCGCAGCGATGCCGAGTTCTGTGATTATCTCCAGTCTCTCCAAAGGCAGCGACCGCGTACCATGAACGTCTTTTCGGACTTTCAGTGGATCCAAACGGGTCAGATTATTCGTGGCGATCAGAGACGAGCTCTCTTTTGCGCATTGGGCAAGATGGCGTCGCAACTCAAGCATCTTCAGATTGACCTCTTGTGTGACTTGTACATTCCCGATGAAGAAGTGGACGCACTCGAGTTCAACTTGATTCATACTGATGAAAATGAAAATGAGAACACTGCCACCGTGCAAGACAGCAACAGCGATGACGATGACGAAGGCGCCGTGCTGATTCAGAAACTGCAGGTCCTTCCTTGTTCCATCCTGACCAGTCTACTGCAACAAGCACCTCAGTTGGAATCTCTGAGCTTGAAAGAACTCTGGCTCTCGGGATCCACCCAAGAATTGGACGATCTGGTACACTGTCTGACCACCCATCCCACTCTCCACAAAGTAGACGTAAGGTGGAAACTGACGGGAGGACGACGTCATCATCATGCCCGGATCCTCGATCCCCTGATTGCCGGAATTTGTCGCATGCCCCAATTGACACATGTCAATCTCATGATCCCACACTGGTCCAACGAATTGGCGCTCTTGGCGAATACTAGTAGCAGGCTCATCACTACGGCCCAATTGACGGTCGAATCCATGGAATGCCATCCCGATGGACTGGCCCAATTGTTACGAGATTGGAAACAACAACCTCCCACAAGCCTGCGTCGATTGGAATTGTCCGCCTTTTCCATCTTGCATCACGCCGGAACCGCACTGTTGGATCTCTTGCACCACAACGCCCACTTGGAACACTTGGCCGTTGTCGATCACAACATTTTTGGCACATCATCACAATCACAATCATCACCATCACCCGAGGACCCACCATCGTTTGCCCACAAGTTGGTGGCAGCACTGGAAACCAATACGGCGTTGAAGCATTTGCAAATGATTAGTCGGGCATCATGTCGTCGTGGTCGCAATACCAAAAAATCCGCGGGGCGACCACTGTTTGCCCGTTTGTTGGAACAATCCAATTTGACCTTGCAACATGTCGATATTGCGCATCATGAAGGACTCTACTTTTCCGCTCCTGTACTCTCCTCTTTGCGTGAAGGTGGAGGACAACGACGAGAAGATGCCTTGGACTTTTATCTCCGGCTCAATCAAGAGGGATATCGACGACGACTCTTGAAGAATACCAATCATCCTAATGGGAACGACCACAATAGTCACCACAACAATAACGACAACGAATGGTACCGAGCCGTGAAATATTACCAACAAGACACGGCCAGTCTGTTTGCCTTGTTGCAGGCGTGTCCATCGGTCCTGTCATCCTTGGCCCCCTAGACAGCTACCGCTTCTACTAGGGAACTGTAAAAACCACCTAGCTAGATGGCTAGCAAAATGTAAAAACCACTTATAGTCTGCACATATTATCTTTCTCTTGGGCTCTCTCGTTGTTGGATCTTTTAGGTGTTTGGCTCAGCCAAGCCATTTTGGGTTCTAGCTAGTCGACGACGAGGCTTTGACTCCCACGGCTGCATGCATCGTCTCACCGTCTGCAGACGGTCTTGGGAGAGCTGAAAGGCCTGTGCGTCCATCGCACTGGCTTTCAAGCCGAGGATATGGGTTGCAGTCAGGACTTTCTTCTTTTAGATAGCTTCCGCGGCTGTATGCATCGTCTTACGTCGTTTCGACGGCCCTGTGCGTCCATGTAATGGCTGCTGGACTGTTCTCAAGAACCGCTGTAGGTAGACCTATTAGCACCCGCTTGAAGGGACCGTCGGATTCAAGCTTTTGGTTGCTCCGTGAACCACAATCGAGCTTCTTGTCTCGCAACAAATAACGCATCTAAACATGTACTTATGAAGCTTTACACTGTTCTAACTAAACACTAAAAGCTGTCGCCAGTAAATAACAATACCCAATCTCGGAGCGTGGTCCCCACGCTTCGTCCTCGTCTATGGGCTGGATTCAATTCTCATGATCATTTATTCCCCATGTAACACAATGCTCCACGCCCGAAATGCTTGTTTGTACGTAGGTGTTCCTTCTTCAAAACGCTCTAGTACGCCCGCAATCACTCGCAAGGCGCCACCCTTCTTGAAGTTATCCCGGGCACGAGGATACGTGCACGAAAACCGCACAATTCGACAACCGTCCTCTTGAATGGCAGCGTCGTCGGGAAAGTCGGTCATGTGCTTGGCAAGTTGAGGGAACATGTTCAAATCGAAAAACAGACCAACAATGCCCTTGGAGCTCATTAGATTGTTCAAAGCCCGAAAGCCCCTCTTGACAAGACGCGCGTCTTCCGGAAAAGCGTCCATGGCAGAGATGATACTCTCCAGCGCGCCCACCGATGCCAGGCAGATGCAAATGTTCCCAATGCCACCCACAGCCGCAAATGAAAGCTTCTTGTTCAGGAGCGAGAAAGCCGCAATCACTCGACAACCTTCTTCCTGAACCAGCGACGATCCAACATGTCGTTTCATAGCATTGATCACAATCAAATGACCGCCAGCACGAAACAAGCTGGAACGATATCCGTCGCCTTCGCGTTCCCTATGGAGAATCTCCGTCAGCTGAGACATGCCCTTGTGTACTCCAGAAGCATCATCTCCAGCGATCGCCTGCATCAGCTCGATGAGTTCCTTGTTGTACAATGGATCCACAAGAGACGGCAAATGCTCCATGGCAAGTGCCGCCAAGAAATCTTTGGAAGTGCCGTTCTTAACAACTGTGCTCGTGTTAGCCGCCTTGGTCAATCGAGTAATTTCACTTTGAAGGTTGTTGACTTCTGTTCGGAGCTTGTCAACTTCTTCGTGGCTGACATCTGCGGCGACGTTGCTATAGTCAGCTGTTTCCGCAGTTTCAAGATCAGTCTTCAATTGGCGGATGTCAGACTTCAACGCGCCAATGGCGCCGAAGCGTTTTCCCAGATCGTTGTCGATTTCGCGTGTTTCTTCTTCCTTTAGCACCAGGTCCTCCTTGAGCTGATTCAATTCTGCTCGCAACATGTCTCGCACTCCAAAGTCATTATGGTCCCCCAGTTCAACTTCCTTGGCTGCAATTTGCTCCTTCAGATGATCCATCTCACCCTTGAGCTCTTCCAGTGCCTCCTTCATTGCTGTTTCGATTTCGTCAACTAGTACGAGAAGTTGCTGGTCCTTTTCGTCGATTTGCCGTCCAAGCTCCTTGCTTCGAGCCACGACGTTTTGGCTATTTTGTTGCTGCTCTTTTCTTTCGCTTAGCTCCCTTGCCTGTTCGAGAACTTTCTTTTCTTTTTCCATCAATTGCCTTGTCAGTCTCCCATTCTCTCGCTCCCAGTGTCCATCAGTGTCGTCCTCGGAGTCGGACTGAACTGAGCGGTCAACGGACAACTTGTCGTTTTCTTCCTTGAGCATCTCATTCTTTACTTTGAGACGGTCATTCTGCTGTCGCTGCATATTGGACTTCTCGTTGAGTTGGTTGATAAGGGCTTGTAGACCATCAAGTTTCTGTTGCGTTTCCTCCAACACCTGCGATTTTTCGTCGATGGCGCATTGGAGTTCCCGAAGCCTCTCTTCCTTCTCTTTTAAGTGCGTAGCATTTTCTTGCACTGCTCTCCTGTGCTCACCGGCAATTTTTTCCGTGACTTCTATTTGTCGGCCCATCTCCTCCACGTTGGCTGTGAGGCTCTTGTTCAATTCATCCTTGGCCTTGACTTCCTCTTTGAGGCGTGACACAACCTCTTCTAGCCTTTTGTTGTCAGCAATCTGTTCCTGCAACTGGGTCTCCAAGAGAACATTGGAGACCCCTGACTCAAGCTCAGCAGTAAGCTTCACGTTCTGTTCTTTGGTTGCCTCCAGTTCAGCCTGCAAAGTATCCAGAGAATCTTGACTCTCCTTGCACACATCTTCGAGATCAGTAATGAGCTTTGCATGGGCGTCTTTCAATGACTCCATCTCTGTCTGATTGGTCTGCAGCTTTTGTTCCAGCTCAAATTTCTCATTCACCGACATTTCACGTTCAGCAGCTGCCTTAGCCTTTGCAGATTCAAGTGCGGACTGCAGAGTCTCCAGGGCTCCATGGTTCTCCTTGTCTCCATTTTCTAGATCAGCCAAGAGCTTGGCATTGACCTTCTGTAATGACTCTAACTGTGCCCGAGTTGTGGCAAGTTCTGCTCCCTTCTTGGTTGCACTTGCCAAGACTGCAGCATACTCAGCCTTGAGCCCATCCACGTCAGCCTGGGGCTTCTGTGCCGCTTCTTCATTGACCAAATTCTCAAGCTTAGAAACAAGGCTGGCATTTTCCACCCTCAGTGATTCAAGAGCAGTCTGCAGTGTGTCAAGGTCCTCATCCTTTTTGGCAGACCTGCTGAAGAGATCAGCATACTTGGTTTTGAGCGCATATAACTCCGATTGAGGATTGTTCTGCCCAGTTTCCGCAGAAGGAATTCCCCTATCAGAAACAACAGTGTCATTGCCTGCCTTGGCCAACTCAAGAGCCTTTTGCATAGAATCGAGGACGTCCTGGCTCTCCTTGTCTGCTGCTTCCAAATCAGCCAAAAGTTTGGCATTCACCTTTTCCAGAGATTCCATGTCTCTCTTGGCAGCCTCAACCACTCTGTCTTTTTGCATGGAATGGGCCAAGACGGTTGCATACTCAGCCTTGAGCCCAGCTATTTCAGCATTCAGGTCACTTCGCTTTTTCTTCTTGGAACGTTCCTCACCACCAGAAGCAAGGTTTTCATACTCTGTTTTGACAGACTCAAGGGCTTTTTGCAAAGTCTCAAGGGCTAGTTGGCTCTCCTTGTCTGCTGCTTCCAGATCAGAAAGGAGCTTGGCATTCACCTTTTGCAATGAATCCATTTCTGTTCGAACAATTTGCAGGTCTTCATCCTTTTTGGCAGACCTGGTAAAGAGATCAGCATACTTAGTTTTGAGCGCATATAACTCTGATTGAGGATTGTTCTGCTTAGTCTCTGCAGAAGGAATTCCCCTCTCAGAAACAACAGTGTCATTGCCCGCCTTGGCAGACTCAAGGGCTTTCTGCATAGTCTCAAGCGCTTCCTGGCTCTCCTTGTCGGCTGCTTCCAAATCAGCCAAAAGCTTGGCATTCACCTTCTCCAGAGATTCCATGTGTCTCTGGGCAGCCTCAACCACTCTGTCTTTTTGCATGGAATCAGCCAAGACGGTGGCATACTCAGCCTTAAGCCCAGCAATTTCAGCATTCAGGTCACTTCGCTTTTTCTTCTTGGAACTTTCCTCGCCGCCAGAAGCAAGCTCTGCTTTGACAGATTCAAGGGCATTTTGCAGTGTCTCAAGGGCTAGCTGGCTCTCCTTGTCTGCTGCATTAAGATCAGAAAGGAGTTTGACATTCTCCTTCTTCAATGACTCCATTTCTAATTGGACACTTTGAAGGTCCTCATCCTTTTTGGTAGACCTGGTAAATAGATCAGCATACTTGGTTTTGAGCGCATATAACTCTGATTGAGGATTCTTCTGCCCAGTCTCCGCAAGAGGGACCCCCCTCTCAGTCACAACGGCGTCATTGTTGGCAGACTCAAGAGCCTTTTGCATATTATCCAGAGCATCTTGGCTCTCCTTATCTCCTGCTTCGAGATCGGCCAAAAGTTTGGCATTCACCTTCTGAAGAGATTCCATTTCTGTTTGAGCAGCTTGTAGGTCCTCATCCTTCTTGGCAGAACTGGCAAAAACATCAGCATACTTGGTTTTGAGTGCATACAACTCAGCTTGAAGATTCTGCTGCCCAGTCTCTGCAAGAAGGACCCCTCTCTCAGACACAACTGTGTCATTGCTTGCCTTGGCAGACTCAAGGGCTTTCTGCACAGTCTCAAGAGCTTCTTGGCTCTCCTTGTCTGCAGCTTCCAGATCAGCCAAAAGTTTGGTATTCACCCTCTCAAGAGATTCCATTTCTCCCTTTTGTTTAGAAGAGCTGGCCAAGAGGTTGGCATACTCTTTCTTAAAACCTTCCAATTCCACATGTTGCTCTTGCGCTTGCTTCCCTGTTTCTGCTGCATGGGTCTCCAGCTCTAAGGCAAGCTTGGCATTGCTTACTTTGAGAGTTTCGAAACCTGTCTTGAGAGACTCATTCTTCTCCTGTGCTCCTTCTAAAGAAATCTGCAGCTTGGTGTAGGCTTCCTGCAATGATTCCATTTCTGCCTGAAGAGCACGCAGTTCTTCTTTGTTCTGAGCTGCACTGGCTGCTAGGGTAGCATGTTCTCCGTTCACTCTATCTAATTCAGCCTTCAGGTTCTGTACTTCCTGCTCCTTCTCTGCTACAGAATCCTCCTGGTTAGAAGAAAGTTTCCGTTTTTCTTCCTCAAGAGCTGCAAGGGCGGACTGTGCTGACTCCAGAGACTCCACAGCCTCCTGGCTTTCTTTCTCAGCATCATCAAGATCAGCCACAAGCTTGGCGTTGATTTCTTTTAGAGAGTCGATCTCTCCCTGAAGATTTTCTAGCTCCTCCTTTTTGGTAGAGCTTGATTGGAGATTGGCATACTCAGCCTTCACATCATCCAATTCTGACTGAAGATTCTGCACATCCTGCTCCATCTGCTCTGCCATAGCTTTCATCTCAGAAGTAAGGTTTCCATTCTCTTCTTTGAAAGATTCAAGGGCGGTCTGCAGTGCTTCAGTGGCTTCTTGGCTTTCCTTTTCAGCATCATCAAGGTCCGCAACGAGTTTGGCATTGACTTCCTGTTGTGATTCCATGTTTGATTGCATCTTTAGAAGCTCCTCCTCTGTCTCCTTGAACCTGGACAATAGGTCAGCATTCTCAGCTTTGACACTATCCAATTCACTTTGAAGATCTTGTATTTCTTGCCCCTTCTGAGCCGCAAATGTCTCCAATTCGGAAGCAAGCTTGGGAATTTTTTCCTTGACAACTTCAAGCTCTGTCTGTGCAGCACCCAGCGATTCTTGGCTTTGTTTCCTTGCTTCTTCAAGATCAGCCACAGCCTTCTCTTTCCCCATTTGCAGGGATTCTATTTCTGCCAGAGCGTTCTGAAGTTCCTCCTCCTGCTTGGCAGATTGTGTCACAAGCTCAGCATGTGCTGCCCTGACACTCTCCAATTCAGTTTGAAGATCCTTCACTTCCTGCCCCTTCAGTGCTGTTGAGGTCTCTAATTTGGCGGTGATGTTAGAGCTCTTGGCCTTGATAGATTCAAGCTCGGCCTGCAAGGCATCCAGGGATTCTTGGCTTTGTTTGCCAGCCTTGTCAAGATCAGCCACAAGCCTATCCTTATCCATTCGCAGGACCTCCAACTCTGACTGAGTGCTCTTCAGTTCCTCCTCCTGTTTGGTAGATTTTGCCACGAGTTCCGCGTGGTCTGCCTTAATGCCGTCCAGCTCAGACTGAAGCAAATTTCTGGAGGTTTCCAAAGATTCTAATTCTGCCTGAGTATTCTTCAACTCCTCCTCCTGTTTGGCGGACCTCATTGTTAGGTTGGCATGCTCCTCATTGATGCCATCCAGTTCTTCCTGGCGGATATTTTTAGAGGCTTGCAAGGTTTCAACTACAGAATGAGCATTCTGAGCTTCCTCCTCATGCTTGGCAGATTTTGCCAAGAGCTCAGCATGTTCTGCCTTTATGCCATCCAATTCAGTGTGAAGAATTTCTCTGGAGGCTTCCAAGGCTTCCAATTTTGACTGAGTATTCTTCAACTCCTCCTCCTGTTTGGCAGATTTTGTTGTAACATTGGCATGCTCTTCATTGATCCCATCCAGCTCGGCCTGTAGGGTATTCCTGGAGACTTCCAAGGCTTCCAGATCTGACTGAGCATTTTTCAGGTCCTCTTCCTGCTTGGCAGATTTTGTCAGCAGCTCTGCATGCTCTGCCTTGATGCCATCCAGCTCAGCCTGCAGGTTATTTCTGGAGGCTTCCACTTCTTCTAATTGCGACTGAGTATTCTGTGCATCCTCCTCATGCTTTGAAAACTTCGTCACAAGGTCAGCATGTTCAGCTTGGATCCCATCCAGCTCGGCCTGTAGGGTGTCCCTCGAGACTTCCAACGCTTCCAGTTCGACCTAGCATTTTCAGTCCTCTTCCTGCTTGGCAGACTTGTCAGCAGTTCTGCATGTTCCCCCTTGATTCCATCAGCTCAGCCTGCAGGATATTTCTGGAGGCTTCATGTCTTCCAGTTGTGACTGAGTATTCTGTGCATCCTCCTTATGTTGTACAGATTTTGCCACAAGGTCGGCCTGGTCAGCTTTGATCCCATCCAGCTCGGCTTGTAAGGTATCCCTGGAGACTTCCAACGCTTCCAGTTCGACCGAGCATTTTCAGTCCTCTTCCTGCTTGGCAGACTTGTCAGCAGTTCTGCATGTCCCCTTGATTCCATCAGCTCAGCCTGCAGGATATTTCTGGATGCTTCAATGTCTTCCAGTTGTGACTGAGTAATCTGTGCATCCTCCTCATGCTGTACAGATTTTGCCACAAGGTCGGCCTGTCAGCTTTGATCCCATCCAGCTCCGCCTGTAGGGTATCCCTGGAGACTTCCAAGGCTTCCAGTTCCGCCTGGGCAGTTTTGAGTTCCTCTTCCTGCTTGGCAGACTCTGTCAGCAGTTCCGCATGATCCGCTTTGATTCCATCAAGCTCAGCCTGTAGGATATTTCTGGCAGCTTCTACATCTTCCAATTGTGAGTGAGTGTTTTGTGTGTCCTCCTCATGTTTGGCAGATTTTGTCACTAGGTCAACATGTGCTGCCTCCAGATCATCCATTTCCGCCTGTAGGGCATTCCTGGTGACTTCTGAGGCTTCCAGTTCCGCCTGGGCAGTTTTGAGTTCCTCTTCTTGCTTGGCAGATTTGGTCAGCAGTTCCTCATGTTCCGCTTTCATGCCATCAACCTCAGCCTGTAGGATATTCTGGCGGCTTCCATGTCTTCCAATTGTGACTGAGTATTCTGTGAGTCCTCCTCATGCTTGGCAGATTTTGTCACTAGCTCAGCATGTTCTGCCTTCATCTCATCCATTTCCGCTTGTAGGGATTCCTGGGACTCCAAGGCTTCCAGTTCGCTGGGCATTTTCAGTTCCTCTTCTTGCTTGGTAGATTTGGTCAGCAGTTCCTCATGTTCCGCTTTCATGCCATCAACCTCAGCCTGTAGGATATTCCTGGCGGCTTCCATGTCTTCCAATTGTGACTGAGTATTCTGTGAGTCCTCCTCATGCTTGGCAGATTTTGTCACTAGCTCAGCATGTTCTGCCTTCATCTCATCCATTTCCGCTTGAACGATATTCCTGGAGGCCTCCAAGGCTTCCAGTTCGGACTGGGCATTTTTCAGTTCCTCTTCTTGCTTGGCAGATTTGGTTAGCAGTTCATTATGTTCCTCCTTAATGCCATCAAGCTCAGCCTGCAGGATATTCCTGGCGGCTTCCAAGTCCTCCTGGTCGGCTCTTTTGCTATCAGTAACTTCGGAAAGTTTGGATTTTTGCTCTTCCAGCTCTTTTTCGAGTCGCGTCACATCGTCCACAAGTTTGCTTTTTTCATCAGAGATTTGTTGGGTTTCTTTTTTCATGGCTCCTCGTTGCTCTTCCACTTCCTGTTCTTGGATGGCAACGTTCTCAAGCATGGCGACAAGTTCGACCTTTAGCTCTTCCACGCTTGCTAGCTCTTTCTTGTGCTTTTCTTCGGCGGCCGTCACAGACTCTCGCTGTTCCTGAAGTTCCTGCTCTTGGACAGCGACGGCCTCTAGCATAGCCACCAGATCTTCTCGCAAAGTCTCCACGTCATCGGATTTGTTTTTGCGACCCCGTGGTTGTTGCTTCGGGGCGCCGTTTTGCAAGGACTGTATTTCAATTTTTTGCTCCTGCACCGTCACATCTCTTTCGGCCACTGCAACGTGCAAGCCCGAAATTTGAGCCTCAAGTTTGTCAACTTCCTCTCTAAATTTCTCATCCTTTTTCATGATTGCCTCCTCCAGCGCTGAGACTCGCGATTGCAGGTTGTTATCTTTGTCTTCCCGCGACGCGAGTTCTTGCTGCAGCCTCGCCTTCTCATTGTCGTCGGCAAGCTCGTCTTGAATCCTCGACTCGGTATTGGCTTGCAGACTGTTCAGTTCGGATTCAATTTGCGCCTGGAAGTTCTTGAGCTCTTCCGTCTGTTGCTGAATTTTCGCATCCTTCTTGGCAATCTCTTGCTGCATGCGGTTCACTTGTTTCTGCAACTTGGCTGTCTCCTTTTCAAAGTCAATCACCTTTGTACTCTTACTCTGGATCTCTTCCTCCAAACGATTCACGACTTCTTGCACTTTCCCCGTCTCTTTCTCAAAGTCTTCGACTTCTGCCACCTTCAATGCGATTTCTTGTTCCAAACAGCTGATTCGTTCTTGCACCTTCCCAGTCTCTTCCTCGAATTCTTCCAACTTGGCATCTTTCTTGGCAATCTCCTGCTCCAAACGGCTGATTTTTTCTTGAACCTTCCCAACGACGTCGTCCTCTTCCGCGGCGGCTTCTTTCTGCGCAATTTCCTCTCGCAGGCGGTCGGCTTCTTCTCGCAACTCGGTACTTGTCTTTTCAAATTCAGCCTCCTTTTTGGAAATATCCTGTTGCAAGCGTTTGACTTCTTCTTGCAAGTCGCCGTTGGCCTTTTCAAATTCTTTCACTCGCTCTTGCAAGGCACTGTTGTTGCCCTTTGTGGAAGAAGTTGTCGTGTCTTGATCCGACGATGGTGCATCAATGTTACGGGACCATGATACTTCGAGTTCCGACGCCTTGGCTTGTTCTTCCATTTGCTTTTCAAGCTCTTCTACTTGGTTTGTTTTCTGTTGCAGTTGTGCTTCGAGCTCGGCCTTGTGTCGATGGTATCCATCTTCTTCCAGTTGAAACGCCTTCTTTTTCATTTTCAATTGATCTTGTAGATTCCCCAATTCGGATCGAAGTTTTTTGTTGTCGTCCGTTTTCCGTTGGAGCTGGGATTCTAGATTGGCCTTGATGGAATCGAATTGTTCTTCTTGTTGCTCTTGAAGCTTGCGCCGTTCTTCAAGCTGCTGGTTTTTCTCGTCCAGTTGCTGTTGCATCTCCTGCAACTTTTGGCCTCCGTCGTCATTATCATCATTCTCTACTACTGGTGGAACGTCGTCCTTTGGCCCCTCCTCCATGGTGATCCCCGCATCCCCATCCTCCCACTCGTCTTCATCATTATCATTACCATCACCACCGTCCTTATCGTATTCCCCCTCCACTTCGTCGTCATCGTCCGTTCCCGTGTCGTCGCTCGCGGCCGCCCCATTTCCACCAGTATTGCGCACCAAACTTTGAATCTGCAACCCCACCGTGGCTTGAAAGGCTTGAAATTCTTCTTCTTGTGCGGCAATCACCGAATCTTTGTGCGCCAGTGCTTCGTGCATGTTTTGGAGTTGCATTTGCAGGGCTTGATTCTGTTCGAGTCCTTGTTGAATTTGCGTTCGTACTTCGTCTTTGAATTCCGTCAAGGACGCTTCTTGGGTTTCCAACATTTTTTCGACATGTGACTTTTGTCGGTTGAGCGTAAAGATTTGTCCCTTGAGTTGAGAGATTTCCTTGGTTTTGGCGGCTAGTTCCGTTTCGAGTTGGGTGATTCGGTCGTCGTCTCCATCTTCGGTGGTAGTAGTGTTGGGTCGTTGCGGTGTTTGTGCCGGTGTCGAGAGGGGTGTTTGGAAATCGTCCGTCGGTGACGTGTTGTTCCGTATACTACTACTACTGTTGTTGTTGTTGTTGTTGTTGTTGTTGTTGTTGTTGTTGTTGTTGTTCCGATCGGCTTCGAGCGCCCGCAACTCGACCGTGGTGGCAGCCAATTGGGCATCCAAATCCTCCTTTTCGGCTCGCAATACGTTCATGGCAGCTTCGTGATCTCGATTGTCGAGTTCGATTTGATTCTGTAGTTCGACAACCTTGTTCTGGAGTTCTTCGACGACGGACGTAGGGTCCTCTGGCAATGACAATGTTCCTTCGGAAGAAGACATGGCGGCAGTCGTGGTGTGTAGATTTTCTCGCAATAATGCCGCTTCCGATTTCATGCGACTCATTTCGGCATCGTGTTGGAGTGTGACGACGGCCAATTGTTCTGCCAACGTGCTTGTTTCGGTTCTGGCATCTGCAAGTGCCTGTTCCAAGTCGGCAATGGTCTGTTGAACTTGCGGGTCGAGTTGTGGTGACGATTGTTGTGGTTGTGGCTGTTGTTCGACTTCTTTGGCGAGTAGCATTCGTGCTGCCTGCAATTGGAGCGACGTTTCGGAATGGTCGGATGCCGCCGAGTTGGTGGGTGACTGCTGCTGTTGCTGCTGCTGTCCTTCTCCTCCTTCTTTGGCGGTCAAGAGTCGCTCGGCTTGTTCCTGTAGCGTATCCAATAGTTGTTTGCTGTTCGTCGTACCAGTCGTTTTGGGTGTTTCGTTGTTGCTACTGTACTGTTGCAACAACCGATCCTTTTCCGCCAATTGCTGTTCCTTTTGCAACAAGAGTTCATCCTTTTGTTGGAGTTCCGTTTGATAAAACGCATGATCACTCTGTAATGTCGCAATTTCCGCCTGCAATCGGGCCACATCCGCCAGCGGTTTCTTACTGGCTTTTTCCCATTCGTCAAACTTTTTTTGCAATTCTTCCATTTCTCGCGAATCTTGGTCATCACTACTAGAAAAAAACTTTTCCAACAGCGTTTGCAACCCATGCACTTCTTCTTGTTTCATGGCAAAGGATCGTCGCGATTCAAAGAGTTCCTTTTCCAAATGGCGAATCTTGGCCGCCCGCGTTCCATCCACGAGGCGTTCGTTCAATCGCGCAAATGTACTGTTCACGGTAGGACTCGATTCGTCCATGTCGTTGTGATTGTGGTTGCTGTTGGGAGCAGTAGTAAGACCACCCACGTGGTCGTCGTCGGCTGTTGTTGTTGTAGTGCCATTGACATGATGATTCTCGTTATGTTCCGTAGTACTACCACTACTAGTACCACTGTGGGTACTACCAGAGCCGGAACTGCTACCAATCAAAGAGACCATCTTGGCTTGGTGATCAATTACTTGCTAGGGCAGTGAGAAGAGAGATTGATACTGGAGTGACGAGTCAGGGCAATCAATGACCTGCCGACCCACAAGCTTGATATCTGATATCTAGCTAGCTAGCTACCTCGATAGATACCGCTCTAGAAAAAAATAGACGAAAGTGAGAGGTGATCCTTTTGATGGTCTTTTTGGATTTTTTGGTGGAGGGTCACATTTCAAAATGACTGAACGGGTCTTTTGGTCTTTTTTGTCCAAGACAGACCATGTCATGAGTGTGAACGGAAAGATCGCTGGTACCGGTAGCACGGCTGCCAGGTACACCTACGAGTTAATTCCTGAAAGAAACAATAGATTTAACACAACCAACAAGCTGCAACACAACTTTATATCTCCAGAAGTGATCTTGTGTGTACCTTTCGAATCCAAAAGGCTACGCACAGCCACCATCTCACGCCGTGGGAGTGCAAGCCGCATGTCTGCCTACCGACTACTCAAGTACATATTATAGAGGGAAGCGAAGCTCGTGCTTGCAATCCATCTCCTTCGAGCTGGGGATCAGGCTCGAGTCGGTCGGGGACCTGGCTCTCAAGTCGTCCTCGGAAGGCATGAGTTTGCCATGCTAGCTAACTCTATCATAGTCTTGCTGCTTCAATTCCCACCACTTCCGAGTTGAAGCAATCCAATGCCAAGTGTAAGATGTACGGTTGGAGTGAGGCACAGTCTTTGTCAAGCTTCAGGTTCACGACTTGCTCCGTTGCATTACGCTGGCTAGCCAGCCTCTTGCCTCGGTTGCAACTCGGCAGCCTCCTGCCAACCAGCCAACCATGCTATCTACCAGGTATCTATCATACGGTACCATACGGTGGTACCGGTACATGCAGTCACCACAGCAACGCGTTACGAATTATAGCATTTTTTTAAATGTTTCTCGCCCTGCGTCCATGGAAGGTGGTGTCATCCAGTCGTGTGAACCGTTAACGCTTTCAGTCGGATTCTCCGCGGCCGCTCAGGCAGCCTCCGCCGCAGCTCCGCCGCAGCTCCGACAGCAACACCGCAACAACAACAGCCTCCACGAGCAAGCAGTCCGACAACACTGACCAAGCGTCTATGCATAGAGCTACAACCAGTAGTACCGGTATCATCAAGACTACTCTGTTTTGTTGGGTCCAGAGTCGGTACTTATCAGTGGCTCAGTCTCGTCTCATCGTGTTGTTTTCCATCTGGCAGAATCTGTCATCCCAACATCTGGCAGAATCTGTCATCTGAAAATGGGGGTGAAAAATGGAAGGTCACCATGATGAGCTCACTTTTTTGTTCAACCGGATTGCTAGAGTTGCATACCCAACCGAACAAGGAAGATTCTTGCGATTGTTGATAAGCCTAGGCCAGATCAACCCCCCAGACCTTATTCAAGTCTACTTTTACCTTTTCAATCTTCTATTCAATACCTATCAATTGCAAAATGAAGTTCTCTTCTTCTATCATCAAGCTGCTCTCGTGGTCCACATGGACCACCGACAACAACAACAGCAACACCAAGAAGACCCCCGTTCTCCAGGTCGCCAAGGAGATGATGGGCAACAACAACAACAAGGATGTTCCTGTGACAGAGGAAGTCCCAACGTTTCAACTGGACGAGTTGGACAAGTCGGTCGTCGAAACCGCGGCACTGTTGCACAACTATGGAACGCATCCTAATGTGGAGTTCCAGCAGCACGGTCGCTACCTAGGTGCCTACGACCTTTCCCTGGTTCCTTCGGATCAGCATGGTCACTACGGATACGACAAATACAACCAGCACCGGCCCAAAGGTTGTCGCATCAAACCCAGTCAATCCGCCAACGCTAGCTGGAAGACCCATTACGGTCAAGACACCGAACGGAGCAATGGAAACCGTTTATCCTTTGCTCCCGTCAACACTGTAGTGGGGTACTCTTCTGGTGAGGGCGAACAAGACGAAAACAGCCGTGTTTATCGAGACATGAACAAACAAGTGCCACAGGCCCGATACGAATACTGGCAGGAAGCCCAACAACAATTCATTTCCGTCGGCACACCCACACCCCACGAACGCGTCTTGGATCTCGTGCAGTTGATTCAAGAGTATGGATACCAACAAGTGACCAAATGGATCACCAACAACCTATGGTTCCAAAGCGACAAAGCATACCTACGACAAGCCAAACTGTACATTCAAATTGATGCCGTGCATCAAGACCTCGAGGGACTTGTCAAATTCGTCCAGGCGAAGAAAGGAAATGACAAGCAAGTCGCCCACTGGTTCATGGTCAACGAAAAGAACACTTACATGTTCGAACTCGCCATGTGCCACTTGCATCTCGGCGGTATTCAGCGAAATGCCAACGACGAAATTTGCACCTTGAATACGCGAGAACAGATTGCCAATCGGCGATTTGTCTATCGCAAGGTCAAGGATGTCTGCATGGAAGATGCAGCACCTGTAGAAGAAGTAGAACAACAACCAACAACAACTAAAGACGTCGAGGCAATAGAAAAAGTCTCGACCGTCAACAACAACAAGATGGCATCCGATGCCACAATCACATGTGAAGCAGCGGTGGTTCCCACATGCACAGCAGTGGTCCCATACGTTCAAAAGTGGCATGTGAGACACTGCAAGATCAGTGTGCATGGACAACAACCATTTGTATTGGAGATACGAATGATAAATGGCGTCCTACTTGGAGTGGTACCCAACGACATTCTCACAGCATTGATGAAGGATGGTGGAGACCTTGTCAAGGAATTCATGCGGCGGCACAAGACACTACGATTGGAAGCCTCGGACGATACGGATTGCGAATTCGTGACTGGCCAAGTGGTAGCTGATGAGGAACCACTACTGGTCGAGGAACAACAACAAGTTGATGGTGATGAACCACTGGTTGACAACCGGGTCGATGAGGAGGACAATGTGGACACAGCACAATCATCATTGCGGCGGTCAAAGAGACGCATGGCGGCGATTGCATCTCAGAGAATTGCAGAGCAAATGAAGCCACGGCGGGTTTTTGACCAACCTAGAAATAATACACGTAGACGAGTGGCGGCCAAGAAGTCGACAAAGCCAAAGGCGCAGGGCAAGAAGAGAAAGGCGAAGGGCAAGAAGAAGACGATGACACAACCTGTGACGGACACACAGCAGCAAACAACAGTTCAGACAACAACAAGAAGCCGTTCTGGACGGCAAGTCAGAAAGCCTGACCGGTACATTCCAGTCTAGGACAAAGGTAAGTGGGGCGGCGACGACGGATTGTGGGGATTACTAACACATAAATACAACACACAACGAGCAAGCATCTGGTGGGGTGCAGGGCTATACAACAATTATTGCGGAAGTGAATACAGTTGGTTCAATTGAAGGGTCACATCGAAGGTAGCCAGGTTTGTGGTTCCTGTGCTAGGCAGCCTCTCTATTGCAGAGTGCTTGTCCGAACGTCCTCCACGCGACGAAAGTCCAAAGTTAATACCCGTGACACCCGACCACCAACCTCTATCATTGTTGATGCTACAATCTTTAAAAATACAACCAAACATAGACATAAAACAATAACACAGCCATAGCAGACAACATTTACAAACAAAAATCATGGCTTCATTCTTTATAGTAGTTGTAGTCGTACTAGCTAGTGGTAGTTCATAATCATACCAGTCGTAGCATCCATTGCAGGGCAAGCTCTGGCATGTATGCGGTTGTGGTGACCATCCACACGAAGAGGTTACCAGAATAGAATCATTCGTTCGTGTAGCCTGCCGTCTCACGCCGTTGCAATCCATCGCCTTCGAGCTTGGGGCCTGGCTCAAGATGTCCTCGGAAGCCGTGAGTTTGCCACACTAGCTAGCTAGATCGTCTTGCTTCTACAATTCTACCCATTCAGAGTTCTTGCATTGTATTGCATCCAAACCCGCTTGCCCCGGCTAGAACTCGGCAGTCCCTGTTTGCCCAGCAACCGTGCCCCACAGTTACGAATTATAGCATGTACAGAAACAAATACTGGGACATGTCACCAAGGTACAGTCCACCCGCATCAACAACAGTGACGGGAGCAAGCAGATTTGAACCGGCACCGTACCCGTTATGAGCGTGCGATGAATCAATATGGACTCCAGCGAGGCAAGGGCACCTAGCGTTGGAGGCAGCACACCGGTAATAGAGGGGTTGTCGTAGAGAGCCAAAAACTGAAGGTTCTCCAATTGACCCATCTCACTTGGGATCGTTCCTGACAGTTGTTGGCCATGCAGGTTCATGTTGGAGAGACTGGTCAGACCAGAGATGTCGCTTGGAATGGACCCAAACAGCAAATTGGAATGCAGAAACAAGGTTGTCAATGGCAGGGATAGCACTGGCGTGGGCAGCATGTCGGAAAGCTCCGCCACCAAGTTTTCCAACTCGTACAGGCTCAATTCTTCCAATCGGGACAAAAGACCAATCTCGGGGGGAAGATGCGTCCCCACGAATTCCGAGATAAATTCAATCGACAGGGCCACAATTCTTCCATCCGCATCGCATCGGTTTGGATCCAGTGTATCTCCCCACTCACATTCCGGTATGACATAGTTCAACCAACCCGCACTTTCCCGAATCGGCCAGCTGTTTCCGTCAAACGCGAAAAAGAACGTTGCCAATGCAAAGAGCTGTAGCACCCGCCATTCAGGCAATGTAGAAAAGCTAGGATGTTGAATCACCCAACTATAGGCCATGGATTGTGGGGATTGCGGATCGATGAGAGCTTCCATACTATAGTCAGGAATGTCAAATAATAAAGGTTCTGTGGTTGGTTCCGGAATGTCAAATAATAAAGGTTCTGTGGTTGGTTCCATTGTTGTGGGCAAACGGGTGGGAGCGCGAGTGACTTGCTCATCGCCTCCAGGGAAGGATGGGGCATTCGTGGCAACGGTGGGTACATCCGGCCGATCGGGAGCAGGTGCAGGAACAAATCCAAGTGTTTCCCGAGGAGTGGGTGCTGGAGTTTGTCCGGGAGCACTAATGGGAATACCGAGAGAACCTGGTACTTCCCGAGGAGTGGGTGCTGGAGTTGGTCTGGGAGCACTAATGGGAATACCAAGAGAAGTTGGTCCTGTTGGCCTTGCAGTATCAAGTTCTTCAGAAGTTGGCGCTTCCGAAATCGGAATAGGGAGCGTAACAATGTCTCCTATACCAATGCCGATCCCTCCAGGATCACTTGTGGATGATGGCGCTGGAGTAACGTCCTCTCGCCCTCCTCCTGCAGGAGCTGGAGAGGGTGCAGGAGCACCACCAACCGGGATACCAAGTCCTCCAGTAGTAGATGGTGCTGCCGTTTCCGGAGGAGGTATCATCGGGACCCCAAGCCCGGGCGTAGAAGCGGAAATGGGAACAGGGGCCGTTGGTTCTTGGGTTGCTACTGCCGTGGGTGTATTGGTGCCAATTTCGAAGGTCGGCTTGCCGGTCATGTCAATGGCCACGGGCACTGCCGTTGGGGCCAAACAATCCCGGGAACAGGCACTACACCCTGGGAGGCACGTGACCGTTCGGCAATCAATCTGAAATGCCGCCAATGCCGAAAGGCTACACATTTCTTGTGGCACTGTTCCCGACAACGAATTCCCATTCAACAAAAGCAATTCGAGGGACGAGAGTGCTCCCCATGACGCATGAATCGATCCGGTGAGTTGATTGTTCAAAAGAGTCAACTCGGTGAGACTCGACAAGAGTCCAATCTCTGTCGGTAAGCCACTGTCGAGTTGGTTCCAGTCCAAGTTCATGGCTTTCAATGCCGTCATGCCGGCAATGGTGGTTGGAATGGATCCCGTAAGTTGATTTCCAAACAATTGAAATGTCTCCATGGCAGTCAATCTTCCCACTTGATGGGGGATGCTTCCCGATAGCCGGTTTCGAATAAGTTGCAAGGATGTCAATGAGGACATGGTCCCAAGTTCCGTGAACAGCTCTCCGGTCAAAGCATTGTTTGCTAATCTCATCACCTTTAGGGACGGCAGCAAGCCTATTTCAGAGGGGAACCTGCCTGATACTTGCTGTCGTTGAATGGAAAAGATCTCCAAATCGGACACGAGTCCAATGGTACTGGGAATCACTCCTGCAATGGGCCGCTCGTCATTGCTCCCGCTTCCTGGTTCGGGTGGATCCAGTTTGGCATCGAGACTGATGCTGCGGAGTGTTGTCAGTCCCCAAAAGAGTTCTGGTGGTAGACTCCCTTGCAGGCCATTACCCCATTGCCACATGTGTTGGTAGTACTGGCCATCCTCCCCACAAGGACTGGCATGGGTAATGTTATACACATAATTTTCAAATCCAAACAGCGTGGGACGGGATGCCCACTGACATTCGGACACATTGTAATTGAGCCAGTTGGCATCATAGACCCAATGATCTGGTCCGCCCGTGGCATGGTAGAATGTGGCGAGTGCGAATCGTTGTCGAATACGCCATTCCGAGTAGCTCTGTAATGCAGGATCTGCCAGTAACCATTCAAATGCCTTGGCTTGCGGCGACCGCGCGTCTTGGAGAATGGCGGAGCGTGTATAGTTGGGGAACAACGATGTGACGTAGGACTCGAAGGAGGCAAAACTGGGTGCAGCAGTGGGAATTTGAGGAAGAGATGGGATAGTAGTAGGGCTGAGCGTGGGTGCACTTGTGCTGGTTGTATTGCTGTTGTTGCGGCCAAAGACGAGAAAACAGACCACAGCCAGTATGACCACAATAAGGATAAAGATGGCTGCCTGAACCTTGACAATGGTTTGCCATTTTCGTTGCCTGTTTCGTTCCTCTTTTCGCTGATTTTCCCTCGTCACATCATAGTGCTCTGCTCGGGGTAAATCAGCGACTGGATTGGCCACCACCAACAAGTTGTTGTTGGATGGAACTGGCATTGGATTAGTAGTAGTGGCTGTGGCAGTAGGACTAGTAGCGTTTGGGTTTCTCTCCAAATCATCCTGTGGTTCCAATGGAATAGCAGGTTCCCGTCTAGCAGAAGCTACATTTTCGGAGGGTGCTTTGGTCCTGGAGGTTTTGAGTTTGCCCAGCTTGGTTCTCCCCCTTGCAACCAGTGGGATGCTCTGTCCTCTCGGTGCTGCTTGTGTATCCACAGCATCCACTGGGGTCCGTCTTTGGTTGGGCTGCCGTTCATCATGGCCTGATGATCCTTTCTTTTTCGCCATTGGTCTAGAAGCTGGGTATGCCACTAGCTTCTTGTTGGCTTCCAATAGATTTTGTGGTGTGCTTGTATATGTATCAGGGTGAATCGGCACAGCACCATGCTTCTTCGCTGCCACACCATTACTCTCCGTCTCGGCGGAAAGAGTCGGGCCATTCATAGCAACTTCTTCCGCACCATCACCACCATCGCTCTCCATCATATCCGCTGCAAGATCCCATGATGGATCCAACTTGCCATTGACGTCTTCCGCCATGCTGCCATCTTCTTTGCTTGCCATGGCTGTGGGTTTGTTGTGGACCATTCCGTGTGCTTTGACTCTTTTGAGAACTCAAGTGAAAAACCTGAGATTTTATGGACAAAATATGCTACTTTCTTCGATTTGGTGAGCTAAAATACGTATTTTTATGCAAAAATGACACTTGCATTGGTTCAAAACCTCACTGGATCCTTTCACTGGAACCAAGGCACGCCAGCCGTGGAGGTGCCGTAGGTACCGTATGGTACTAGCACTGCATCCAAGACACGCAGAGCTAGTGTCATTGTTGGGATGGCTGGGAGGTTCCAGAACTCACTTTGTTGCTGTTCAAGTTCCACAGAAGACAATATTGGCCCCAGCATAGATACGATATGAATGGCACAACTCCTCAACTGGAGGCCTATGAATGGATGCTAGCTAGATGATCCTATGCTTGCGAACAAATCTGATTCACCCCTGTTGCAGGGCTTTGCTCTTGCTAAATTCTTCTATGCAACTGGTGGTGAAAGCAAATTGGAAACATAAAGGAGGTGGTAGGGTACGTACCATTGATCTGTTTCAACCTTGTCCACGTCGCCCTCGCCCTCCTGCAGCTTCAGGGGGGGGGAGTCCGCCACCAAATGATCCAGGCGGAAATGAAGGTCCACAATGGGTGGTTCATTCAGGAGGAAATGAAGGTCCACCACACAAGAGTCTGGTGAAAGCAGATATCAATGAACACAAGTTCACAGGGACTCCACGCTTGCCCACAGAAATGGCAACCTTATCAAGTACACTTACTTGAGCAGCCACTTCTCTATTCTTGACATCAGGCAGGGGAGGGATTTGTCAACTGTCAGCTTCGACAATGCTCAAGTAAGTTGTCCCGCAGCCAGTAGGGTCTCTGGTACGCTTCCAATCGACCTTTGCAAGTTCATTCCAAGCCCCGAGCATCACGCCTCAGATGCCAACAAATTCCAGGGCACTCAAATGATGTATGTACCGGTACGTGAAGTGCCAGCCAGCAAAGAAGATCACATGCATGCAGCATCACCGCAGCGGAAGGCTTCCGGGACATGGAACCACACGGCTTCTCGGGTTCACGAAAGTACTTCTGAATGAAAAGCGAGGAGATATCGCTTTAGAGACACAGACGTTCATAGACAATCTCAAGTGAGAATCGGAAATCGGTCGATTTTGGATCTTTATAAGCTCTAACCTTATAGAATGTTGATTTTTTAAAAGATACGCTTTAGTTTTAAGATACTTTTCGCTTACACGACGACGGACGAGCTCGAGGCTCGAGCGAGAAGCAAACACAACACAGCCACTTTCCCACTAATGCAAAGAAATGTTAGCATCATCACATTCGTACCACTCTGACGAGTGGTCGATCTACTGTATCAGTGGTTTCTATGAAATGGTCGGTGCAATCTTTGCATTGTTGATCGCAATAATCTCCGCCAGCAAAAACAACATGAAGCTTCTAGACCGCATCCGAAATCTGGATGCCTCTCGTCGAGTTGATGTTGTCAGTAAATACATTCCTGTGTTGCTGGTGGAACATACATGTAATTTGATGGATACACAAACCAAAACAATGATCGGTCACATACACACCGACCTCATAGAAACACTGAGGGACAGGCTCGAAGAGAATCTTCCTCATAATAGTAAGAGTGTGTTTCGGCTGCCCAAGCCGGCATTCATCGAGGAAACTACAACTTTGACGAGAATACGAAATCGATATTTTGGGTTGGTCGTAGACAAGTCTCCCACTCAACCTTTGGCTGACGCTAGAACGGCTGCCTTGGAACGATTTACCAATCTATTGCTGGATTGCAAAGTGATCTCTAACCTTCACTCGGACAGGTATCCAATCACGGACCCAACAATCGCAGGCCACGGAGAAATACTAGCAACCGTGAATCGGAATGCAGCTCCTTATCTGGGTGTTACTTCCATTGGAGTTCACTTGCTCTGCTATGTGAAAACAAATGACACGGTTTCTTTGTGGTTGGCGCAGCGAGCGGCCAACAAATCGCATCACGCTTTACTGTGGGATCCTACCGTAGCCGGTGGTCAACCTGCTTCCATGGGGCTCTTTGACAATGTCATAAAGGAAGCGGGCGAAGAGGCAGGAATTCCTTCTGAGCTAGTTGCTAGGAATGCTGTTGCCACAGGATGCCTCTCTCAGATGACCTGCAAACCGGATGGTACCTGTATGAAGCAAAGTTTATACTACACTTGGGATATGCAAGTCCCGAACGATTTTGTTCCAGAAGCAGCCGATGGGGAAGTAGCTCAATTCGAGCTGTGTTCGGCAGAACAATTGGAATACGATGTACGAGAAGGCACTCGACTGCGACCTGCTATGATCCTGGTGGTAACCGATTTCTTGATTCGGCATGGAATCATTGCGCCTGACAAGGAGCCAGACTATGCCAACATTCTGGCAGCGATGCATCAAGAACAGCTTGTCTTTGAGTATGCAGACAAAGGGGAGGGTTGTATGTGATGAAGGATAAATTATTGCCTAGAAGACCCTATAAGTTGTACGGCATCCAATATGCGCTTAAAACCCAATGCAGCAATCTAGATTCTAGATGGACATGTACTTGAAACTTGAAGTACATGATGATACGGTTCGGCATCCAATATGCGATTAACCCAATGCAGCAATCTAGATTCTAGATGGACATGTACAGTACTTGAAGTGCATGATTGGGGAACCTGATCAACCTGACGAGGAAATTATCTAGCTACTACTAGCTAGCTAGCTAGAGTAGTACTTCCAGCAGGCACCCAAAAAGAAGAACACCGCATTGGAAGTTGGAACCACACCGGTTTCCGGTTTCTCCTTTTGTTCCTTGGTTCGTTTCGAGCTTTGAGCTTCGTTGATTGAGAAATAGCTTCGGGAATGGAGAATTTGTGGGCATAAATCCTTCAACCAAGACGAAGCAAAGGAGTACTGAGTAGCAGCTATAAGATTTAAAGTTGCAAGCGTTTTCTTAAATCCACTGAAAGTGTTAAAAGGCCTCATCCAAGATGGTTGTTATTTAGCATAAATCAACAAACAAACTCACCTGGCGCTTGCGAGCGACAGTCGAAAGTTAAAGCAACAAACTGGCCAGCGTGGCTAAGAGATATTGCTACTAACCTGGGCAGTCTTGCTGCCAGAGCCCTCAACCCCTTTAATTCCGTCTCCTGAGACGGCGCTCCTTTTGGTTACCCCCTCAGTTGCACTCCGAAATCGATTTGCCGGCGTTTACTGTGGGAAAAAGAGTAGCCGCACTTCAGTTGCAGAATCAACGGTCATGTGTATCCTTAAGTAACAAGTTCACTTCGAAAGATTTAGATTGATTCGTGGAATAAAAGAACCGTTGAGGTTACTAAGGTTAAGGATAAACTGATTGAGTACGGTACTAGTAGGATCAAGTCCATCATTGAAGGCGCAGCACTGACTTCTCTCCCTCATTGTATTCCTATGGTAAACAGGACAGAAATCCAAGCTTGGCCGACAACAGTGGTATACGTACTAACCGGCCGACAGGAGGAGTTCTTTATTCAAGCTGATCGATAGATCGAATCGATCGCAATGAGGTAAGCCTATTATCAAGAGTGTTAATTGAAGGTACAGCACTGACTTCTCTCCCTCGTTGAATTCCAATGGTAAACAGGAGAGAATTCCGAGCTCGGCCGTCAATAGGTGAGTTGTTTCAATTATTCGAGTCGATGGATCGATCGCCGTACCCTCACTCAAACCGACATTCTCCGGTGTAAATTGGAAAGCCATCCCTCATTGAATCCTATGGACCATGGGATGGCAGTCAGTTCTCGGCCCGTGACGGCCAAGTTGGTTCAATTTGAGAAAACAAGGGTATGTCGCCGGTTTTCTTCAGTTGAGCACAGAAAACAAAACTCATATCTATTTGTTTTTTTCTCTGCTGCACTGCTGACGGCCGAGGAACTACCATTGTCGAGGAGTACTTTTCGAACGAACGAACGCTCCAAATAACAAGAGAGAGGCTCTGTTAACTCCAGCCCTATCACCAACCTGAACGGTGGAGATCGTCGTCGAGTCATTGAATGGCAACAAGAGGAGGAGGCTACACGCACGACAACTCGAAACGCGCAGAGGAGGAGAGTGGATCCTCCTACCGGATTCATCCCTCCTTGTTATTTCCTAGTGTTTTGGTGGTGATTCCTGTGTCGGTACCCATTTTCCTGTATGCACAAGTCAAGTACTATTGCCACTACCGGTAGGTATACGGCAGCTGGCTACAATGGCTGGATTGACAATATTCGGTTTTGTGCATGTATTCGTCATAAGGATCCAATACGAGGTACCGGTAACCGTAGCGAGCAAAGCCAAACTTTCGGTACTGTTGCCACTGTCGTCGATGTAGCTATACCGCAGCTGGCTACAATGGCTGGATTCAAATGTTCGGTTGTGCATGTATTCGTCATAGGATCCATTGCAAGATACCGGCAACGGAGTGTAACCAGTAAAGCGGAACCTGAGTGTGTTCGGTACTGTTGACACTGTCGCCGATGTGACTGTACGGTAGCCGGCTACAATGGCTGGATTAACAATATTCGGTTTGTGCATGTATTCGTCATAAGGATCCAATGCGAGGTAACCGAGTGCAGTGAGCAAAGCCGAACCTGAGTGTGTTCGGTACGAAACTATAGGTAGCCGGCTATAATGGCTGGATTGACAATATCCGGTTGTAACTGTTGGTTGAGGCAAAGGGTACAGGAGACGAGCGCTGAAAAAAACCGAATTGTTTTTCCTGCTACGGCGGTCCCTGCAGGTATAAGGGTAGGGGTAGAATGCAAATAAGCCAGCAAAAACTAAATAAGTATCCTAGGATGGTGCTTTTAGAAACCAGCTAAAGCTATTTACATGCATCCTAGTAGGGGGATCTGCTTCTACCAGGAAAAACTCTGAAACCAGAGAAACCTATATAACTAGTATTCTAGCTAGCTTGGGGTATCTGCTTCTAGCTTGCTATGGAAATCTGCTTCTAGCTAGGGGGAATCTGCTTCTAGCTAGCTAAGCGCAAGTTAAGCACTAGCTAAGCACTAGAGGTATCTGCTTCTGGCTAGCTGGCTAATAGGGTATCTGCTTCTACACTGAAACCTTTCTGCCGAGGTTACACAGCTCCGCTGGCTTATTAATACCGGTAACAGACAGCGCCGGTTTGCTTTGCTTCCATTCTGCATTATTTGAGCATCCATCCTCGATTCATCACAGCTTTCCGATCGTTCTCACGACACGACGTACCAATTTGAAATGAAAACGGACGAGACGTTCGATGCTTCCGCTCCTACCAGCGATGCTTCTCAAGGTGCAGGAGATGTTGGCATTGAAAACGAAGATTTTCTCCATCTAGACGCTGACAAGAAAGAAGCGACGGAACTTGTGGAATCCACCACAAACCCCCCTGAGAATATGCCTGCACGCGAGGAGGACGAGCCAACAAGAGACCGAAAACTAGGGGGGTTGTATACATACAGCACTACCACAACAACAGCGAAGGAGACACATGTTGCAAGTGGAAAGTTGGGAGGAGTGTTTGAGATGGTGGAACCGCCTCGATATGATACTCGTCCAACAACAACAAGAAGCACCACTCCAAAGCTGGGAGCAGTCTACGTGGTAGGAGGAAATAGCAGTGCACACTCCGTCGATGCGGCAGGAATTGAGGAACTGCCCATCGCAGCAGGCTCATCACATGCGCAACAACCTCTTCCTGGGGCGTATCCACAACGTGGCATTGACCGACAATTCTCCAGTGATGCCATGAGCTTCTCCATGTTCACTGTCTATAATAACGAAATTGATGTGGACGAATTCATTTTGGACACGATGTTGGATGTCAACAACAACAACAACAACAACAACAACAATTCACAACAAGACCCCAGGGAAACACATCCGGATGGGTTGGCAGTAGCACAACCCATTTCAGCATTATCATTAGATCTAGCTCAAGCGGAGCCTGTGGATGTGGAAGCATTACAGGAAGAGCAAGAAAAGAGAGAAAACCGTCAAGAGCAAAGAACAAAACAAAACAAAAAACAAATGTGCACATTGGGAATTGGAGTTCTCATCTTGGTGGCCATTGTCATTGTGGTTATCGTCCTGGTTGGTCCGGGTAATTCAGCAGCTGCCAACACAGAAGTGGAACGAACCAGCAACAATGCTACTACAGAATCTTCTACTACAACTGCGCCGTCCGTTCCCGAACTACCCATGATAGCCTTGCTGCCAAATTCCACACAAGACACTATTCGATCCAGCATAGAAATGAACGACACAACACCACAGCTGCAGGCTTACCAATGGATGCTCCATGATCCCATGCTTGCCAATTACTCCGATGCCCGCCGCCTGCAGCGTTTTGCTCTGGCCACATTATATTATGCGACTGGCGGTGATAATTGGAAACTCCAAGGAGTCCAAGGAGGAGGCAATAGTACAATCGAGCTGTTTCAACCCGGTCGTCCGCCTCGACCTGGCGTTCCTCCTGCAGCTGAAACAACACCTGCTGCCAACGGGGGTCCAGGAGCCCCCCCTTCGGGTGGCAGTGGAGGTCCACCACCAGGAGATCAAGGAGGTCCACCACCAGGAGGTCCAGGAGGTCCTCTCCCCAATGGGCCTCCAAAGCCCATAATTATTTACTCTGAAAAGTGGTTGTCATATGACACAAATGAATGTGACTGGTTCAATGTGCTCAAGGTCGGCCCAGACAAAGATGCAATCTGTGATGAGGAAGGAAACCTACTCGGGTTGGACCTGATGCGGAACAACCTTGTGGGGATTCTGCCACAAGAGCTTGGGCTCTTGTCCAAGTTGCATACTTTGCAGCTTCGGCACAATCAGATGGAGGGAAACTTGCTTCCCATTTTCAACCTCAAGAGTCTTATGAGAGTACATGTCAACGAAAACGAGTTCACAGGGACTCTTCCCACAGAAATTGCAACCTTATCAAGTACACTTTTGCACTTTTCTATTCTTGAAAACAATATACACGGTACCATTCCTTCAGAGCTTCTTCAACTGTCAAAGCTGACATTGCTCAAGTTGTCCCGCAACAGGCTTACTGGTACAATTCCCAGTGACATTTGCCAGTTCATGCCCAACCTCGAAGAATTCAGATTGGAGCGAAACAACTTCCAGGGCTTGCTTCCGCCATCACTGAGTGTATGTACCAATCTAAAATTTCTTGAAGTGACCGACAATCAGCTCACAGGTAGCGTACCTGCACGATTGGGTGACCTGACCAACTTGTACAAACTTGTCCTTGCGGAAAACCAGTTTGTTGGGAATATTCCATCTGAGCTTGGGATGCTCCGCCAAGTTGAATTCCTCTGGTTCTACAACAATCCCCAACTAACTGGGACCATTCCTTTGGAACTAGAGAGTCTGAACACGACTCTGTGGGAACTGAGACTCAAAGGTACATCCCTCACGGGGACCATACCAAGTGGGCTTTGTGCGGTCCCAAGACTGGAGTTTGACTGTGCACCAGGGACACGCCTTTGTGGCTGTGACTGCCCTTGTCATCCTTTGTAGTGACCACCTTGCAATAATGAATTTACAATAATCCAAGTTATGGCACAGTTTTCGAGATCACTGTCTAGTTCGTACCGGTAGAGCATGCAACATGTCTACGGCGTCGTCAAGTTTCATGTCTCGCCCATTGAATTCTCGCGCAATTACATCTACAGATCCATTCTCATATATAAGGGGGGTTTGGAGTAGGAGGATTATCTACGGAAGCCAGCTCCATTCTCTGCTTCAGATTTTCCAAGCACAAATACTATTTGAGCTTCAGGGAGGTCCTAATCTCATGCTTGAAGTACAGTTGTGACGCGTCCAAGGCCACTTCAAAGCCTTCTGCTTCCAGGCGCTTGCACTCCACGGCAGTACGGATTGCATGCGACATGAGTTGGAACTACGGTATCATAGAATGACGAGAGATAACCAGAATTTCGAGTTGCCGTTGTAGTGCTCACAGAGGACTGCAACCACTCTCACGACGCTGCCCAGGAGCGATCGCACGGTGAATCATGACGGGGCGAGCAAGACTTCCGTCGCTGCACTTGTTTTGTAGGTCCAATCTCCTGGCCTGAGAGGGCAGAAAGTCGAGTTGGATCGACGCGCAACGGTGGAGACGGCCCGTCGCTTCGTTCAACTCGTTACGATGCAGCCATCACACCAAAGTCGGCAATACGACCGAAGGTAACTCCCAAAGATCAAGCAATGACCAGACAGCTCATGAGTTTCAGGTCGTCCACGTCCAAGCAAAACATGCCGTCACTGTAATGCTGAACATGACCCGCCTTTTGAAATAGGTCAAGCTTGAACATGTTGGGTGATACGAGTTCTTGGTAGTTTAGCAAGCACAGGTAAATTTACGCACAGCAGCTACATGTAGCTTCAAACCAAATATCCTAACGGTATATCTTGGCACTATCTCCAAGACAGATAGCCGCAAGTTGCATTCTTGTCATGACCCTCATCTTGAATCCCCAAGACCTTGGTGCGTCCCGCTCACGGCTGCCCGGACAATATCATTCCAAATTTGTGGCTCTTTGTTGGCCAAGACTGTGAATTGAGGTGCTGTCAGAACTGGAACGGCATGATTTTTTATGTACGCCCGGCATAACTCTTTCATGGCGTCATTATTTTTCCAGGCCTGGAGTACAATCCACTTGAGATTGTGCATGGTCAATGATTGATAGGCTCTATGGAAAACCTGTTTGTAGAGATCCATCCATTGGAATTTTTTGGTCAGCTCCAAAAGTTGTGCGACTTGTTCTGCAGGTATGGCTCCCCCAGTTCTAGTAATAGTGTTGCCCACAGATCGTTGGTGATAAACGTGAACCAGTACTTGCTGGACCACGGCCGCAGGATAGGCAAAGTTCAGGGTCCTGCAGTCAGGGTTGACTTGAAAGATTGTTTCCATAACTGGGGATGACTTGGCCAGAATCGTTTTGTGGGCTGGAATGGAAACAGATACATGATTTAATTCATCATCATGACGGCAAACAATCTCCACGTCGCATTCCTTATTGCGGGAGAAGAGTAAATGGTCAAACTGTTGTTCTCGTGCTTGCTGGTTGGCAGCAGCGTGCCATGATAAGCGCCTCCTTTTCAGGGCATGTTCCTGATCCACTCTGTTGCTGCTACATGTACTTGGTCGCTTGGCACTGGAACTATGCTTGTTGTAGACGTCATGGTGGTGTGATGTCAGCACCTCCTGCTTCCCTGGAGCCACAGAGGTGGCATTCGGAGCACCTGGGTGTGTATTGCTGAATCTTCCCAACGCTTGCTCCCGGAGTGAACCGTTGTCGTCGTCATCGTCGTCATCGTCAACAAGCAACGGCTGATCCTTATTTCCACCAGCAGAGTGTTGTCTGCTGTACGAGTGCCACCGTGATGGCTCCCAGCGGCTTTCAGTACCAGCAGTTTCTTCTTCTTCTGCTTCCAGACCTGGGCTGGGAATGCTGCTGTTGCTGCTGCTATCCCGTCTAAACTCCCTCTTGGACAGGTCACGAAAGGCTTGTCCTGCTTTAGCGAGCAAAACGAGGGATTCTGTTTCATCCACTACCTGCCATGCTCTTTCTTGTCCATTTCCTGTTTGCTGGAGGAAGCGACCGGGAGGATTTTGCAGATGGACCAGATCAATCACTTCCTGACACACGTGCTTCTTGTCCATTTTCGCCACACCGTGATACATGGCAGCTCGTTCGCGAACCCACTGCAAAAACCGCTGGTTGCCTGGATGATTGTTGGTGACTCCTCCACGGCCAAACAAAACGTCGTGGGGATGTGGCGTGTACACCGCCATGGGCGTTTTCACCATTGTTGTTTGTTGTGGTTTACAACTCGTTTGCTTCTATTACTTTGATCTTGTGTTAGTGCAATTATTATTTATCAATATCAATGGGATATGGCTGTTTCCTCTTCTGCTTTCTCCCCCTGTTGTTTCTTTGCTACCGTTCGTTTCAACTGCAACTTTCAGAAGCTTCGAGTATCAGATTTGGGCATGGGAACTCTCTTTGACATTTTCAATCCCGCAGGGCAAATCGAAGAGGTTCCACGCTCTTCGAAACATTTCCTCGCTCATGTGTCCCACGCTCAAGCACTGCATCAGATCATGACACCTGTAGAGTACGAAGTACCGTACACAGGGAGAATGGCGAGTGGACGGACGATCGCAACCATGACCTTGACATCAATCTTGGGGCCATGAAAGGCGCCGTCTCCGGGATTCTAATACCAGTTTCCTCTCCTGCAAAGGCGTCCAGGGCTTTTGACAAGAATGCGGATTCCGCTCTTTCGCACAACGCGCCATCTCCAACCTCCTTGCTTGGCTTGGGTAGACAAGGCAACCCGTACCTTATTCCGTACATGTAGACGTCTCGCATAAACTCGAGGAGTCCCGAAACTACGTCTTCAATTTTATCCACAGGACAAAAGCGTCGTCCTGCTGGCTGGGACCTACCGTCTACTGGTACGTGCGAGAAGACCCCAGCTTCGTCGATCACCATGCCTCTGCAGCGCGAATGCACAGTTCAGGTTGGACGCTCAAGCGTAGAACGTGCCCAGAGGAAACTCGCCACTTCGCAGGTCGAAACCTCGCCACAGCCCGAAAGCTCAAAAAAGTGCAGCACAGCAGCTTCCAAGAACATCCGACAGGTAAGGCTCTAGCAAGCACGGGTGCAGCTACAGCTGGCTACATGTAGCAATGAAGAACGTGTCAATACTTTTACCTAGAAAGATAGATGCAGTGGTTGCAACACTCAAGGCAACTTTTGCAGTCCTGTCAGTTATTGAATCCCCAACAGTTTGGCTTGAGTTCCCCCACGGCTGCCCAGACAATCTCTTTCCAAACTTGTGGCTCTTTGCTGGCCAAGACTGTGAATTCAGTTCACAGTTATTCTTGATGCAAACCTGGCATATGTCTTTCATGGTGTCATTAAATGGAAACAACTACATGATTTGATTCATCATCATGGCAAACAATCTCCACGTCACTTTCCTTATTGTGGGAGAAGAGTAAATTATGGTCAAGCTGTTGTGCTGCTTGCTGGTTGGTGGCGGCATGCCATGATAAGTCTCTCCTTTTCAGGGCATGTTCCTGATCCACTCTGTTGCTGCTCCATGGTCGCTTGGCACTGGAACTACGCTTATTGTAGACATGACGATGGTATGGTGTCACCCTCGCCGGACTCTCTGGAGCCACAGATATTGGATTCGGAGCACCAGGGTGTCTATGGTTGAATCTTCCTAACGCTTGCTGTCCGAGCCAACCAACTGATGGTTGTCTACTTTCCTTTTTGTGGGAGACGAGTAAATATTGGTCAAACTGTTGTGCTGCTGCTTCTTGCCGGTTGGGAGCAGCATGCCATGATAAGCACCTCCTTCTTGGGGCATGTTCCTGATCCACTCTATTGCTGCTCCTTGGTCACTTGGAACTGGAACTATGCTTGTTGTAGACGTGGCGATGATATGGTCTCAGCCCCACCGGATGCTCTGGAGCCACAGAGAGTGCATAGGGAGCACCAGGGTGTCTATTGTTAAATCTTTTCAACACTGGCTGTCGGAGCCCACCAGCAGATTGGTGTCTACTATACGAGTGCCAAGATGGCTGTATGGGGCGTCCAATACCAGCACATTCTTCTGCTTGCAGACCTGGGCTGGAAATTCTACGGCTGTTGCTGTTCTGTCGAAGATCCCTCTTGAGGTCGCGAAAGGCTTGTCCGACTTTGGAGAGCAACAAGAGAGATTCTGTTTCGTCCACTACGTTCCATTTTCTTTCTTGTCCGTTTCCTGTTTGCTGGAGGAAGCGACCTGGAGGATCTTGAAGGTGGACCAGATCAATCACTTTCTGGCACACATTATTCTTGTCCCTTCTTGCCACACCGTGATACTTGACAGATAGTTCCCAAATCCACTGCAAAAACCGTTGGTTGCCTGGATGTGAGTTGGTGCCTGCTCCACGGCCAAACAAGACGTCATGGGAATGTGGCGTACGTATCGCTATGGGCGTTTTCGGCATTCTTGTTGTTTGCAACTCGTTTGCTTCTCTTGCTACTTTGGCTCTTGCCTTGGTGGATTATAGTTGTCGCCTGGATAGGCTGTTTGCTCGTCTGCTTTATCTCCCTTTTCTGATTTGCTTGTCGCCTGATACGTTGGGCACTCCCCCCTTCAAAGTTTTGGGCACTGTCAATCGCGCAGGGCAAGGTCGAAGAGGTTCCACGCTCTCCGAAAAATTCCTCGGTCGTACCGGTACAGCTCGAGCCGGCAGCAACATCGCGAGAACATGACGCTCGAACCCACATCCGCTACCGTTCGCTGTACCGGTACGGGGAGCATGGCGAGTGCTGTTGGTCTTGGAGATGGTCTGGCTGCGGGCCTTTGTGTACGACCAGGACAGGCAGACGCTTCTGATCTTTGACTTTGCATGGAACTTGGCCACTAACGGCAAGTGGAATGCTATCCCTAACCCCTAAGCCAAAGTTGGCTCGTTGGCGCTTCTTTGGTTTTTGCCTCTTTTGCCTCTTTCGAAATGAGCGCTCAAGGGTGGTCTTCTACCGTACAGTGCCGAAGTGGATCCGTCCGCACCTCCTGCCTCTTGATCCATTCATCTGACTCTAGCTTGTTGCTCCCCAAGTCCAACACCTTCGGCTTTCAGCCAATGATGCAGTGTAGCTACCAGACAGCCAGACATAATGGAACCTCTACCAGTATGGCTGCTGTTGAACAAGCTTTTGGTAAGCTAGCCAACTATACTGTAACATGAACGATGCACCCCGAGTCAGTCAAACGAGGCTTTGCCATTGCCTATCATATCAGACCAAGGTCATCTCCGAGGTCCTTGCTACCAACCCGGACAAGAATGCCTCGGAATTCATACCAGCCCTACCGTGGATTCGCATGCTTCCAGCCAACACCAGGATGACCTGCAATGGTCGAGGACTCGCTCGTGAGGGCAAAGCGTTCATCAAGAAGGGCAAGAAGGGTGACATGGAGCGAAACTACTGGCTGGTTGGACTCCGTCCTCTTTAGTGCCGCCGACTCGTACCGAGAAGCTTGAATGCACGGCGGAAGCACTCGCCCGCAGAGACTGTCTAGTATCCACTGGAGACTCTAGTAGTACGTACGCATAATGACGAGGAGTCTACGGGGTGTGCCATTGCAGAGGCAGGTCTACGACGGTGCACCATAAGATTCATTCTGGAGGTGCATTTTTGTCTTAAGTAGCAGCAACATCTTTGGATTGGCATTACTCTGCCCAGCGCTCCACCATACTAATAGTTGCTTGCTTCGGCAGCTGCCGTATTCATGATTTGGAGCAGAACATTGGTCCTGAAAGTCAACACCACTTGCATGTAGGTTTGCAAAAGGGGTCCAGTCACTGTTGGGAAAATGCTGGGTGACGATTGACTAGCTAGCTAGCTAGATAGACAGCAGACTCCAATCGGACCTGTGAGTGGATACAGAATGTTGTTATTGTTTATCGTGCTAATAGTTAAAAGAATGCAGCACACATAGAATACTCTGATGAGGCTTGGGTGGTGTGTGTGTGCTTGATTGCTTGATCCGGCAGCAGCATGTTGGCATGCTGGTTGGTACATCGCAATGTAATGGTTGAGATTGTCGTTTGCTTGTCTGGTGGATTACTTTCCCTTGGCTTCCATTTCATCACTCTTGGGAGTCCATACCGCACCGGTGTCGTTATCCAACAAGGTTTCGGTCTTCTTGGCATTGGATGATGATCCAACGGGCAAAATGTATGTGATGAATGTGAGCATTTGACGAAGGAGATAGAGAAGAAGGAGACGGGATCCCTCCAGATAATCATTGATCCACCAGGCCGACAAGAATCCGGTGCTAATGTTGTTGCATCGTTCGGCAACATAGTTGACACTCATGGTGGCATCCATGGAATAGACGGCATGCCACCATCCATTGGGTACATAGAGGATATCCCCTGGTTGGAGAATGAGATTAAACTCGGTGGCCTTGGCAAAGAGGGGGTATTCGGTAAGATCCACAGTGGAAAAGACATCCAGAGGCGAATACATGCCTCCATCAATGGCTCCCTTGGTTTCCATGTAAAGAAACTCCTTGTCCGCCGGTGGGTAGAACTTCCAGTGCTTGCGTCCGTGAATCTGCAGCATGCAACTGTAAATCACCATATCGGCGTGCAGGCCAATCGAACTGTCGGCATTGCCAATCCAAAAGTAGTGCGCGCGAGGAATATCGGTAGGACCCATGTAGACGTCTTCAAACTGGAAATCCTCCTTGAGCTCGGGATGAGCTTCAAAGACTTCATGACATTCTTTGATACTCCAGAGGGCACCGCCCTTTTGAAACTTTTCCGCAAAGAACTTTTCAATGGTCATTTTGGTGCGATTAAAGACGGC